ATATTCTTTAACACTATTGGTTAGATTTAGAGTAGGTAGTATGTTATTTTCAAAGTGATAAAGCATTAACCTTTTAGCGCCACGCATCGGCATTTGATTTCCGACTTGTCGCGATATGTGCTTGAACCAGCAATAAAATGTTGGCACAGTCACATTTATCTGTTTCAAAGAAAATTGAACACACATCTTAACACCACTCACTGGACAACTGACTTTGAAACTGCTGGGAAAAGTACAAGGAGCAATGTAATATATTTTTTTTTTGCAAAAATGTCACAACAGGCCTGTATTTTTCATAAGCCAAAAATGACAATTATACTCATGGTGATTGCAAGGTTTAGGGTTCATATAAACAGAACTTTCAGAATCTGAAATCAAATTGGTTTAAAAAAAGATTACCGAAACACTTAAAAGGTTTGTTTACTTGCAAAGTAAGCAGCCTTCTGTTGAACTCGATGCGACTGGATTGGAATTATATAATAATTTCAATTCAAATCAATATTTTGTCCATGTAGTTTATTTGATGAGCATCCATGGATAATGGGTGCAGGATAATGTACAGTCAGCCATCATTATTTCAAAATAAATCTCTTCAGGGTGATACAAGACCTCTGTGCTCCTAGTCCCGGTCCTGATGACATCATACCCTAATCTTAATGATGCCATACATTGCTTTGAGATGCATTGCAAAGCAAGCAAGGCCATATTTGTTGTTACTGGTGCTCTGTTCCTGGCAGGTGTGAATGCATATCTTGAAAAATGTGACTTGCTAACAAAGCAAATATCTTTACTGTCAAAAGCTGAAATGGAAATGCCATAAATGCCTCAAGCAATTCCAGATAAAACGTACAGCAGCTTATCAAGTAGGACTGCTAGGAGAGACTTTCCTGATGGAATACTACAAGGTTAAAACCTTATAGCGTGATTGTAGCTTTCCACAGCCCTGAGCATATTCTGAATTTTGCAAGGAATACAGCTTTTCAAGTTTGACCTGTTCGCATTTCGAATGAGTAAATCCGCTTTGCTCTGATGTTAGTACAAAGTGTGCAGTCCCAGGGATATATGATGATATGGTGCGCTGATATCAGGAAATCTGGCACTATATATAAAGGTAGCAGGCTATAGGAATGTAAACATAAGCAAAAAGATATTATAGAGCCAAGGCAACAGAAAGCCTTTCATTTGACTGCAATTTCATGGCCTTTCTAGTTGCTGAGGAGGAAAGGAATTGGAAAAATATGAAATTGATTGTCTGGATTGCAGTTATTGGACCACCGTTTTCTGCAGTGTTAGACAGTGTCAAAATAGATCTCTTGTCTGTGCTCGACTGACAGGAAGAAAAGAACACAAGCTGGGCCAAAACATGTGCCTTTATCCTCTGTCCTGAGATAAGGGCACACAGAGCCAAGAATCAGGAAGCATGAGAACAGGAGTGTTGTATTGGATGACTTAAACGGAATTAGTACATCTGATATATTCCATGTCCATTGTTTTTATATCAGTATGTGAAACAAATATAAATAATGTGTATTATTTTGAATAAATGATTCATATTCAGGCTGCCTGTACTAATGGAGCAGGAACCACTATCAATTTTAGGAAATAAATTACCTTGAAAAAATTGCGACGCATGCCTGTAAATTACAGAGATCTGAATAATTGAAGATGAATCTTGAAACAATCCTAATGTTTCCTTGAACTGAGTGACAACGGCATGGCAGTTTATCTAGCAAAAGAGATTTAGAAATAAAGTTGACTAGAAATGAAAATATGCCCCATCTATTTTCTAAATGCATGTTATTCATATTTTTGCGAATAATGCTCTCATGCATATGATCATCTTTTTAATGCATTTTTCTGACCTCACGATTTTTTTATCAGAATGTCATAACTCGATTTTCTGTTAAAACCATTGACGTTCTTACAACTGGCTGCAAGCTTACATTCAGACCTGCTTATATCCAATTAATTACAATGGACAGAACCAAGTCCCCTCTCTTCCTTTTTTTCTTTTTCAATAATCAGTTTCATTGGGATGTACATCACAACATGGAAGAAAAGCTCTGTTGTTACTTCAGTTTCATCAAGACTTTAAGTAGTTATTATTTACCAAGTCTTTGGGGTGTAGATTTGTAAGTGAATCTCACACAACCAGTACAACATTTCACTGCAAAGCCAGAAAAAAAAGAAGATTATTTTCAGTGAATTTAGATTAATTTATTTAGTTTTGCTTTAAAAAACATTAATGAAAGAATGGATAACTGAGGGATGAATAGGTGAGTAAAATTAGGTATTGGGCTACACTAGGGTTTCCCAATTCGGGGTTTGCAAGAGTTGATGAAAAGCCAATAAATAATTAAATCATATAAAATCAATAATTTTAAAATAAAAAATAACTAAACACTTACTTACTAAAAATGTATATTTTATTTGTTCACCTCCATGTGACCATTAACCAACATCAGCATGCCACTGTTATTATTTTATTTTATATTAAATCATTTAAATATGAACCTATCCACACTTGTCTGAAGCTACACTCTGGCATGACATCTACAGAAATCAAAGTAACTGAAGAAAAATATTACAATTTGTTTGAACCTACTGCCTCATTCTCCCTGGCTGATCTGGAATAAGATTCCCAAAATCCACTGATTACTCCTAACATTTCTTTACTTTCAGGGAGTTTTTCCTGGCCATTGTGGCATTGTGTTTGCTCACTGGGGGTCTGAGCCTGAAATTATGTAAAGCTGCTTTACAACAATTACTATTGTTAAAAGTACTATTCAAATAAATCTTAAGTGAACTGAAAAGAAAAGAAAGAGTGGGAGCTGCATTGCCTCTTCTTACCAAGCTGGGTTTTACCTTTAAGCTTGAAGCTGTGGAGGTGGTAGCACTTGATGTCTGTAGAATTTCAGCTAGAACAGAAGATACATAAAATGTGAAGAAAGATAAGATCAAATAGATTTGTCACCTGTTATTATTCAGTGCTGTAACCACCATATATTATATATGAAGGGCACACGTCCAAACCAGTATGCAGAGATCAGAATAATAATTTTCATTCAGCCATTCTAAAACTTGTATATTTAGTCCCTCTAATCCTGAATATTTGTTTACGTTCTAGCTATTAATAATTAACTCCCTAAATCCTGGTTTATATTCATATATATATATATATATATATATATATATATATATATATATATATATGATATTATTCATATCACAAACACAAGCACGGACGTTCCTGATGGAATCAGTGATCTGCTAAATGACTAAATAAATAAAAATAAATAAAATATAAACTCCCTTGATATTGCTTTGAACTATTTGACAAAAAACAGACAGCCTCGGAAGCCTATTGGCTGTCACGAGCGTTCGGCGACGCTGATTGGCTGCTGCCTGTTTCCGGGGCTCCATTCCATTAGTGACGTTTTCCCTCAGTCGCCGTGCGACAGATTGGGGAGAATGGCTGCCAGTGGAGGTTAGAGCTTCTCTTCAAAATCCAAACTTATTTCCAAAAGTTTTCTAGTCTGTTTACGCGTTATTCATCTCTGATATTATTTAGTTTTGACGGAACGAGATAGAGTTAGAAGGTTTGTTCGAATGTACAGCAAACTCCGGTGGTTGTTTGGATAAAGGCAGAAAAAGTACGGAGAGGTAGCGGCTAGCGAGACTAGCTCAGCGAGTGACTGTGTAAACACTCGCTTATTTGCTCGCTGGTGTACGATACAGTTCATTCAGCTGCGTTATCCTTCGTGTAACTCTGTACTTTCGCCATATTCAATGCGTTGTCACGGTTTATTTAGTGCTATGAAAGGGCTCTAGTCTGGACTTGAACGGCTCGACACCGGACTAGCCTGATGTTGTGCTAACCGGTAAAACAGCACCTGGATTAGCACAGCTAACAAGTTAAGCACCGAAACTCGCTTGCTCGTAGTAACTACACACAATTCTTCGATCAGATTATCAGGAGAGTGTTAAATGTCCAAGGTTGTCGAAAGCAATACTAGTTATTTGGAACGTATTGCTAGTTTTCCTGCTCTTAACTAGTTTCACAGTAATGTCATGTGGGGGCTGTGGTTGGTTGGTTAATGGATAACATGTTTTCTCAGATTTTTTTTTTGTTCTGAAGAGCTCTAAAGGAATATTAGTAAGTAAACTTGGATGCCACTGACTTTGCACAGAGCCTGTGGGTTTGGAACATCTGTTGAATGAGCTCTTAAATATTTTTTTTCCAGTTTTATTTTTGCGTTGAAACGCTAATGTAGTTTTGTAGCATTGAAATGTAGTTCTAAAAAATAAAGAGCTAATCAATTGTAATATGGGAAGTTAGCATTTTTACATGTCCGTTTAAAAGCTAGAAACTAAAACCGACGGCAAAAGAGTCATTCTTGTAATTTATAATGTTTATTGTCACTGTAAAACCTGAAATCATCTCAGCTGTCTAACTCTTTTGTCTTGTAGACGTAGGAAAGCTGTTACAAGTACAGAATGGGACTCCAGCAAGCACAAGCTACAACGGGGTAGATGCCCTTCATGCCTGTAACATCCTCCAGCAGCTTAAAGCCTTGTACGACGAAGCTCAGCTGACTGACATTGTCGTGGAAGTGGACCATGGCAAAACATTCTCTTGTCACAGAAATGTCCTCGCTGCCATCAGTCCTTACTTCAGGTGGCTCCTCAACACATCAATGCTTTAAACCATTTTCGTAACATTTGTTGAGAAACTGTGATGTGATAAAAGCTAAGATTGAAACACAGACCCTTCAGTTACTGAAAATATGACAGACTTAACTATTCAATTATTATACATGGGTATGATGGCTTTAAACTGATCAGACAGTCAGACTTTTCAATACTTAATCAGCAAAAACTTTAAAGGTGTGTTCCTGGTTCTATCGGTAGCATTTGTCCCTCAGTTAAAAAAAAATGTTTACAGTAAGCCAATGTAAGTATACAGGGCAGGCAATAAACATTAAAATGTGTACTCTTTCAAAAATATAGCCACTTGACGGTGTAATTGCGTCATTGTGGACAATGATTTTGTTAATTCCAATCTTTCAGCTTTGATGTCATGAACATGCAAACCTGTTAACTCTGGCATGATATGCTAAATAATTAAAGTATTGCCACCTCAGAAAGACATTTGCACTTGCAAAGGCTAAACAAGTGTTTACGCCCTGGAGCATTGACCTGCTGGTTTGCATCCATATTAACTGTTTGATCATATTTGGTTTTAAAAAAGCTTTGATTGGAGTTGACTTTACTAATTTAAATAGAATTTAACTTGTATTGAACCAGGAACACTGCTTTAAAGGGGTCATATGATGTTGCTAAAAAGAACATTATTTTGTGTATTTGGTGTAATGAAATGTGTTTATGTGGTTTAAGGTTAAAAAAACACATTATTTTCCACATACTGTACATTATTGTTTCTCTTCTATGGCCCGCCTTTCTGAAACGCGTCGATTTTTACAAAGTCTACCCTGCCCAAAAAACTCGCTTTAAATATATAAAATATAAAAAAACGTACTTCCAGTCTGTGTGTCAGAACAGAACATTGTAGTCTACTCTACCAGGATCAGGAAACGGTCCTCCATAAAATGTGCTGCACACATCTGCATATTTGGGTTGAAGTGTTCTGGAACAGTGTTGTAAACACAACTTAACCACTGATTTCTAGTTGTATCCATTTTTGGAATGCCAAACAAAGTAGTTTCGCTTTCACAACGAAACGCAGTGTCACACACGGTAGCCTAGAGTGAGCAGCGGCGGCCTAGAGTGAGCAGAGGCTTGAGAACGGTGCGGCCAGACTCTTAACTTTTATAAAGAATATCTCTTTGGATTTGAGACTTTAGTCTTTGCAACTTTACAGATCTTCTTTATGCACCAAGAGCTTGTAACACTCCAAAGAGAAAGGAAAAATTTAAATCGCATCATATGACCCCTTTAACAAACTACACATTAAATGTAAAACATGTAAATGTAAAAAAGCTTTGGAGTGCCACTTATTTAGACTTGAACATGCTTGAGTTAAGTACTGGAATGGAATCGCACATTGTAGAACCACAGTTGACTAAAAGCATACTGTCGTAAAAATTTTGTTTTGTTCACATGGTAATGGTGTTTGTTTTATCTTTTGTCAGATCCATGTTCACAAGTGGCCTTACAGAGAGCAGTCAGCGGGAGGTGCGGATTGTTGGCGTGGAGTCTGAGTCCATGCATTTGGTTCTGGACTACGCTTACACCTCACGTGTCACTCTCACCGAGTCTAACGTGCAGGCACTGTTCACTGCCGCCAGCATCTTCCAGATCCCAGCCCTCCAAGACCAGTGTGCCCAGTTCATGATCAGCCGTTTGGACCCTCAGAACTGCATCGGGGTCTTCATGTTCGCAGATGCTTACGGCCACCAGGAGTTGCGGGAGCGCTCGCAGGATTACATCCGCAAGAAGTTCCTGTGCGTGATGGGAGAGCAAGAGTTCCTTCATCTGACCAAAGAACAGCTGGTCAGCATTCTCAACAGCGACGATCTGAACGTGGAAAAAGAGGAGCACGTGTACGAAAGCATCGTTCACTGGTTGGAGTATGACTGCTCACGTCGGGAGGCAGATTTACCTGAGGTTTTTGCCAAATGCATCCGCTTGCCCCTGCTGGACGAGGCCTTTCTGAGCCGTATACCCCCAGCCTTCGCCCTGGCCTTGTCCAGGGATCCCTCGGATAAGGGTCGGCTCAATGGCACCAATGGCTGCCCGCAACGGCTGGGTATGACTGCATCCGAGATGGTCATCTGCTTCGACGCGGCTCACAAGCACTCAGGGAAGAAGCAGACCGTGCCTTGCCTGGACATTGTTGCCGGTAAGGTGTACAAGCTTTGCAAGCCACCTAATGACCTCAGAGAGGTTGGCATTTTGGTCTCGTCAGAGAATGACATCTTCATCGCTGGAGGCTATCGGCCGAGCAATAGTGAGGTGTGCATCGACCATCGCGCAGAGAGTGACTTCTGGCAGTACGAGCATGCTGGCAACAGGTGGCTCCCGCGATCGCCCATGCTGCGGGCGCGCATCGGCTGCAGGCTAGTGCACTGCTACGGGAAACTCTATGCTATGGGTGGTCGAGTGTATGAAGGGGACGGACGAAATGCTTTGAAATCTGTGGAGTGCTATGATGCCAGAGACAACTGCTGGACAGCGGTCAGTCCCATGCCGGTGGCCATGGAGTTCCACAGCACAGTAGAGTATAAGGATCGCATATATGTGCTGCAAGGTAAGTGGGGTTATTGCAGAGTCACCTGGAATCAGGGTCATCAAAGTGTGCAAACGTGTATATCCTTGTAATTCATTGGCCTGTCATGTCTTTTTTGCTCTACTTGGATAAAAAGGTCAGGTGGGTTCACCTCTCTCCACAAAATCAGCAATAACTGAGAGCACAAAAGAGCTAGACTAGTATTTCATATTAGGGATGGACCGAAATTTCAGCCACTGAATATTTTCAGCAGACAGTGCCATAGAAATTTAAATAAAGACTGTTTAAAGTCGATATTACACACTGAAACATGCTTTCTCTAGTTAACAGTTGTTGCCTATGTAATATCACACCTGTTTGAAAAAGGTAAAGTTGTAATCAGTTAAAAAATATTAATGACAACAACAATAATAAGCATTATTATTAAATGTGTGTGCATATAATAAAACGAGACATGTTTGTTAATTGAAATAAATGTGAAATAAAATATAAATATTAGTTTATATAAGCAGTTGGTTGCCAAGGCAGCAATTCTAATTTTTGTTTCAAGATTAAAATGAAAGCAAAAATATAACTTGTGAGTCCAGAATTTTCAGTTTTGGACAAGTGGTTTAATTTTGGTGCTACGTAATATAAAGGACTAATTTGTGATATTAATTACATATTTAGCAATTTTGGCCATCCGTTTGGATGTTGATCATTCTTTTTTTTTTTTATGACATTTTCCTAGGAGAATACTTCTTCTGTTTTGACCCACGCAAAGACTACTGGGGCCATTTACCTTCCATGAAAGTTCCCCGTACTCAAGGCTTGGCCGCCCTGTACAAAAACTGCATCTACTACATAGCAGGCATCTGCAGAAACCACCAGCGCACGTTTACCGTGGAGGTGTACGACATCGAGCAGAACACCTGGTGCCGTAAAAGAGACCTCCCCTTCGAGCAAGCGACCAGCCCCTACATCAAGGTGCTTCTGCTTCAGGGCAGATTGCATCTGTTTGTTCGGGCTACGCAAGTAATGGTAGAAGAACACGTGTTTCGTACCAGCCGCAAGAATTCTCTCTACCAGTACGACGATGAAGCTGACCAATGGACAAAGGTCTACGAGACGCCGGACCGCCTCTGGGACCTCGGCCGCCATTTTGAGTGTGTGGTGGCCAAACTATACCCTCAGTGTCTTCAGAAAGTGCTGTGAGCGTCGAGGATGTGCTGTTTGAGACAGCTGATCAATATTTTTGGAGAAGAGGGATGATGGTACTGCTCAATACATGGTGCTGTTTGTGTCCCCAACACCAGAACTGCAGGGGAAGTCTTAAAGCGTTAAAGGTTTCAATCAATAAACTCGAGGGTGCTGTTTGAAAAAGGAAAAAAAAGCAGTATTTTATGTTAGACACAATCGCTTGTTTTACAGTTAGAAAAGTGAATCATAAGTGCAATTATCTTTCGTTTTTTTTTGCAGATGTTGAGTCGTTTCTGCTCCTTTATATCTAGTTTTTGGCTTGGGTTGTTGGCATGCATCGTTGGCGAACATGAGCAATTGAAGTCCTTAAGGACAAGCAGTGTGTCAACAGTTGAGAAAAAAAATAGGTGAAAAAAATATGTAAAGCTATAAATATTCATACGGGTATGATGAGCATTTTTGCTCACTGTTAGTGTGAATACTGAGTTTTTTATTGTCATTTCTTTCAGGTTTTCAGCAGAAGTTGACTCTTTGTGGTTTTCTTAAGAATTTAGTTAGAGAATTTTGATTATTAATGGAAAGCAATTTGTATGCCAAGGTGTTTTTTTTTGTAAATCTTTTTTCTTTTTCCTTTTAAGTCAGCCCATGTGCTAAAACATCGCAGCAGTTTTTAATTTTCATTTGGACTCTACTTTTATGATGTTTCGTGCAGCTCCCACATCGAAATCTATATCTTTGCAATTTCGCATCACCAGCCAGATCTTTAGTGAGGTTAAAAGATTTTACTCCGTCTCCATATTGGAGAAGAAAAAAAGGATACCAGCTTTATGTGTAGCTGAAATCAAAAGTGGGCAATTTGTTGACAGCCAAACACAGCTCAGATCAGGAGAGAACATCGATAGGGTTGGAGAAGAGGTGGCCAAAATGTGGATGCTCACATTCCACTGTCATTTATTGACTCCTCGTATCTGAAACCTATAGATGCCTCCAAAATGCCAAAACGTGTTCAAGGAGGCTTAGCCTGCACCCCGTGGCAGCAATAACAGGTGTTCTGTCATTGTTCCTTAGATAAAGTGCATTAGAAACGAATAATTCCAGAAAAATGGCCTTTGTTTTGTCATCATGGGTTGGTTAACGTTCAATGAGAGATGTGTTGCTATCCAGGGATGTTACAGTGCCTGTGCACATGAAAAGCCCAAGCATCAGTGATGGAGTGAGAAAAGCCACTATAAAGTCTTACAGTTCAGTTTGCTTCTGCACTAAGGTGCTTTGATTTTAGGAAAGGTCTGTTTCGCAAATGAATCCAGTCCTCCTATTTTAGCGTTTCCCTGTAAATAAACACTTTCTTTCTTTGTTCCCTCCATCCACTCATCTTCCAGTCTCAAACTACAGAGAAGAAGAATTGTTTTTGGTGCTGCTTTTTGACAATCTTGTACAGAATATACAGTGATTTTTACAGCCATTTGTCATTGCTTGACGCTTCCAAAAGATGTCAGTCTTATAAGTTATTGTGTTGTTTTTCCAGCCTCATGTGTATTTCGTCATGCAGGTTCCTGATTTTGCACTACATTATTTCCTCCCTTGAGAGCTTCTCAGAATACAGCGCTCTGTTTTCAGACACAGAGACTGAGGACGTGGTGAACGGCTTTAAATAGGACAGCTGATGCGCTCTCATGTCGGGCTCTTTGGCGCCTGCGAGGCCCAGCTTCATCTGGGGCTTTGGTGGAGGGAGAGGGATGAGAAATTGCATTGGCTTTGGTGCAGTTGCCGCACGTTTCACATACTTGCATACGCTCAGTAGCACGGGAACCAGAAATGGACACTTCTCAGGATTATTGTCGATACACAGTACTGTATTTAAATGGTTTGTTTTGTGTAATTTACTCTACCATATGTTTGCTGTACTTGCACAGTTTTTTTTTTGTTTGTTTTTCCTCTTTTCAGATGGGTGTTTTTTTTTCTTAATCATTTTAATTTTAATATTTACTCTTAGGTTTGTTAGAGTTTATGATTTTGCTCTGTTAAAAAAATGTGAATCACAAAACATAATAACATAAGCATTTTTTTTTTGTGTGTTCCTTTGTTTCTTTGTGATTGCGTCAGTCGTAAAGAACACAAAGCATTACAGAAAATAAGTTATGGGAGTGCTACTTTCCAAAACACCAGTCTGTAGATGTTAAATAAAAGCTTGGAAAGAATTTCTAAATTATACTTTTGTGTTGTTGGCTGCTGCCGGTGTGAATGCTCTACAGCCAGTTCTTCCATTTGTCACAGCTTGCAGTTAATTTATCCACAGAAGTTTAAACAGTGTTTTCTTTTCCTTTTGCATTATTGCTTTACATTTTGTTCATTTTTTTGTTGTTGTTGGTTTGCTTGTATGTATGGTGTGAGAGTTTAGTAAACATTCATTGATCTCTACTGTGAAATTCACCTTGCACATAATTTGAAAAATAAAACAAAAAGTAAATGAGCAGTGCTGGTATTTTTGCAATGAGTAAAGAACTGATATAGGAAGTTAACTTTTTTTTTGTTTGTTTTTTTTTTAAAGATTTTGTACATTTAACATTTTTATGGAATTAGGACTATATGCAAATTAATTTTTAAAAGTGCAAATATTGCATGTAATCATTCGACTAATATGAGGTTTAAAAAATATGTAACAAATATGGCATAATAATGATGAAAAATAGCAATGTTGTTGCTTAAAGTCATTTTAGGTATTGTGTGTATATATAGACCTCAGATTGGGCCGAAGGTTTACCTTCCAACAAGACAATGACCCTAAGCACACTGCTAAAATAACGAAGGAGTGGCTTCACAACAACTCTGTGTCTGTTCTTGAATGGCCCAGCCAGAGCCCTGACTTAAACCCAATTGAGTATCTCTGGAGAGACCTAAAAATGGTTGTCCACCAACGTTTACCATCCAACCTGACAGAACTGGAGAGGATCCCCAAATCCAGGTGTGAAAAACTTGCTCCTTTTATAATAAGAATTTAGTTAGAGAATTTTGATTATTAATGGAAAGCAATTTGTATGCCCGTGGCAGCAATAACAGGTGTTCTGTCATTGTTCCTTAGATAAAGTTTAAGTGTTCCTTAAACCCAATTGAGCATCTCTGGAGAGACCTAAAAATGGCTGTCCACCAACGTTTACCATCCAACCGGACAGAACTGGAGAGGATCTGCAAGGAGGAATGGCAGAGGATCCCCAAATCCAGGTGTGAAAAACTTGTTGCATCTTTCCCAAAAAGACTCATGGCTGTATTAGATCAAAAGGGTGCTTCTACTAAATACTGAGCAAAGGGTCTGAATACTTAGGACCATGTGATATTTCAGTTTTTCTTTTTTAATAAATCTGCAAAAATGTCATCAATTCTGTGTTTTTCTGTCAATATGGGGTGCTGTGTGTACATTAATGAGGAAAAAAATTAACTTAAATGATTTTAGTAAATGGCTGCAATATAACAAAGAGTGAAAAATTTAAGGGGACTCTGAATACTTTCTGTACCCACTGTGTATATATATATATATAAAACAAGCCACAGAGAAAATTTTATCTCATCTCCAACTTCTTGCACTATTACAATAACTATAACAATGAAATATATGGTCTTAGGTACTGCTTTTTTATTATTATTTATGGCCCTGCTTGCATGTCCTGGCTGACAAACAGCCTTATTTTTTGGGTATTACTAGCAAAGTCATTGTATTGTTTCAGCAAACATTCTGTGCAGTTACACTGCACCCTTTAAAATGTTTCATTCATATGTAGAAAGAAGCTATAAGTGTAAAATAAGGAGAATGCTTTTCTAGTGATCTAGGCAGCTAGTTTTTTTTTAATATAAAATCCCAAATAGGGGAAAGAAAATACAAACCCAGGCTTCATTCAATGCTCCTTTCAGTTCTTTGTGCCTATCAATTTGTAAAGAATGGCTGTTTTCACTGCTTTTCTGTCTATGAAGTGGTTATGTCTCATAAATCAGCCTGAGCTTACAATCATATCGATCTGACTGGAGTTTCTGCTTTCATCTCACTTGGCTTTAAGTGAATTGACCATCTACTTTAAAGGGGTCATATGATGCGATTTCAATGTTTCCTTTCTCTTTGGAGTGTTACAAGCTCTTGGTGCATAAAGAAGATCTGTAAAGTTGCAAAGACTAAAGTCTCAAATCCAAAGAGATATTCTTTATAAAAGTTAAGAGTCAGCCACGCCGACCTAAAACGGCTCGTTCTAACACGCCCCCACATATCTACGTCATGATGTGGGAAGATTTGCATAACGCTGCCCAAATGTTCACAAAGAAAGAAGGCGTAACTTTTATTCTCGCTGTAGTATCCTTGCTGGTCGCTGAGGAAATACTTCAACTTCGCGCTGTGGATCGCCGGATCGGCTTTCACCGTGGACGAAGCGGAGTCCAGCCCGGGGTCGTCACATGTGGTTGCCGCAGGCATCACAGTATGGTAAGGGATGTAAGATTTCCGTCACACGCTTGAGGAATTCGGCCAATCACAACGCACTGGATTGCTGGCCAATCAGAGCACACCTCGCTTTTTCACCGATGAGCTTTGTAAAAATCAACGCGTTTCAGAAAGGCGGGGCACAGAGGAGAAACAATAATGTACAGTATGTGGAAAATAATGTGTTTTTTTAACCTTAAACCGCATAAACACATTGCATTACACCAAATACACAAAATAATGTTCTTTTTAGCAACATCATATGACCCTTTTAAAGAGTTTCTCCCTCATGCTGGGGTATGTGCAATTTAATTATTCAACAGAAACCTATTTATCATCAAATTAGGAGGAGAACTGAATATTCATTTGCTCCAAAATTGTGACAAAGGAGAAAATTAACTTGTCAACTTATCTAGCAGACTTCTGCTCTCAAATCTAAAACAAAAACAAAAAAAACGTTCAGAATTTATTTTAAGACACAATCCACACTGACAAATATATTACATATCTAATATACCATATAAACAGGATCCTAAGTGTCTATTATGCCAGCAGCACATAGGAAGAACATATAAAAAAAAAAAAGCCAGAGAGCGAGAGAAGGGAGAAAACGAGTGTGAGACCCAGCAGTCCCATGTGTAATAGCAAAGGTAGAGGGCTTCATCATACTGCCCTTGGCTTCACTTTCCCCAATGTCACCCTATATGCAGTGGAAGAAAGACAGCAGGAATACA